ATTTACAATAGAATGCAAGGACAATTATTATTAAATATATTTTATTTTCCTAAAAAACGTGTAAATGGGTGTAATAAAATAATGCATTTGGTAATAAAAGCAGTATAAGTGCAGTACAATTTTATTACCAAACATTTTTTTAGACAATAAGTATTATTTCTGTTTTTTCATTTATAGAAATATTGATAAATACTGAATCATTTGAGTTGCAAGCAGCCCGATCGCGCTCTTTAAATTTTGTGTCGAAAACTCCCGGTACTTTATATGCAGGTGTTTATGTCGGAGCAAAGCGTTAACGCACGCGTCACTATACAAACTAACTATACTAACTAGAATATAAAATATTTGAATTGCTATATTAACCAAAAATAAATAATTGTTCTTTTCTGAAATAACGCCTCTTAATCTTTCAAACTCATCCTTTGTTAAAGGATTAATTAAAATGTCACTTCTATAATATCACTTCCCCTTTTTGAACATAAGTCCTTAATAAAACGGTACTTAATATGTTTTATTCATCTAAAATTTTCTATCGTTTTGATAATTGCGATTACATTTATATTCTCTATTTTTAAGAATGCCGGTTTGTTACAGTTAAGTTCTCATTACGATTGATACATACATTAAATTGCATATAAATTTTCTCCATATATGTATGGTTCATTTGTTACTGTTCAGTATCTGCCATCCATTTGAGAATGTACTACCATAAAAGTTGTCACAAATTGTCTTTCAAACATTCAATCAGTTTATTAACTCTGATTAACTAGTCAAGCCTTGATCTAATTCTATTTTAAATAGAGTCATTAAATAGAGAAATCAATTCTTCAAATAAAAATAAGTATACATTGTCTTTGATATAAAAATAATAAACAAATTCAGAACGTTTCAAATTTAAATTTCATCAAATTTTTAATTCCAAAATTTTAGCACGTTTCTTAATATAATATTCAATATTTATACTTTGTTTGAAATCTTCAAATGGATTAATACCAACTTCATCTTCAAATATACCGTTGAAAATACCGTTGGAACGCCAATTTCTTCTATAGTCCATATTTGCTCGTATATTTTGTGTAACCGACAGTTGAGCCCCTCCGTGTTTGAGAAATTCCTCAGGGATTGGGTCGCTGCCAGGTGACCTATTATTACTTAGCGTTTGAAGGGCTCCTTTTATCTCCGCTACGGTAGATGCATCCTGTTCCTCGTCATTTACTCCCCTCGGATTCTCCGCAGTCATGTCAATGTCTACATTGGGGTTAAGCAGCTGATTGGTACAATAAGATTCCCACTTTACTCTTACACAACATAGTTGTGGGCTTAAATCCCTATTTTTATTTATTGGGTCCTCCGTACAGCATTCTCGTATATGTCTGTTCTATTTCGACATTCCCCCTCGTTCTCCTCTGGACCATTTTGTGATAGTCGATATTTTCCAAGTTATTGCTCTATCATAGTCGTTATCAAACCAGTCGCTTCCTTTCAGTTTTTACGTGAGCCTAGAACTTCTGAGCCAGTTGTTAAGAGAGCTATTCTAAATTTTTCTCTTCTTTTCCCTGCTATTATGTTGCATCAGTTCAAATTGTTACAGTTGAAATTGGCAGAGTGATTGTTTGCTCCTCTGCAGTTCTTTAAGATTGTGAAATTTGACCTTTGACGGGCGTCTATCTATGATAGATCAATGATCTATTTGGTAAGAAATGTCTTTTCATTCAAATAGGATCACTACTAGACTTCTTGAAGCTATGAAATTTTCCACACACAGTCAGTCTCATTGCTTTCCTCAAGAAGGGTATTGCTTCCTATAGTCTTCCACACGGCGATCGGTTTTTATGACTCTGTCACTTTCCTACTGTAGTTGTAAAACTAACAAAGACGGGGTTGTAACAGGTAGTTCCCCATTGTAAAATGTTGGGATTCCTCACTCAGGGCGGCATTAAGGACCACACTTTACTGGCAAATTGTAGAAAAATAATAGGGTCATGTATAAATACTCATTATTCTCTTCTTTGTTGTGTTTCTAATATTAAGTACATATTTTTTTCTAAGAAATGTTTTGAGGAGGCATGCATTGTCTACTTACAAAAAAGGGCGGAGAATAATTAGATTCTTTAAAATTCTGTTATTCTATTATTTAGACATTCCTAAAAATAATATTTTTTTCTAAGATTTTTATACTAGTTTTTATAATTAAATTTTAGTTGTTATAACAAAACTTTGGTTTTTTATTAAATTTTAGTTTAAAAAAATTTAAGTTCGACCCTGTCCTTGTATGACTGTCATAAGTCTTTACAGGTACTCGAGCGGGCAAAAATCACCCCGGCTTTTATTTATGACTGTCATAAAAACCGATCTGGATGTGGAAGAGTATACCTATTCGTAGTACCGTTATTCTATTCCTATTTTTGCGTTGAAGTCTCCCATTATGATTTTCATGGCTTGGTTTGAGGCACCGTCATACACCACTTCCAATCCTTTGTGAAAGACATCCTGTCTTTCTATGTTTTTTTTTGCCTTGATAGGAACTTGCAGATTATTAATGCTAACATTAAAGAACTTCTCCTTAACCCATAGACCATATATTCTAGAACTCAATGGTTAGAAACCAATTATCCTTTTCTTGAGGTATTTGCTTATGATGAAGGTAGACCGGAACTCATGCCTACTGTCATGGCAGATATAAAAATCGTAATCTCTCATTTTGTAAATGGCCCTGCCCGGTCTACACTTATTTTTTTCGATTTCGGTAACTCTAGCCTTGTACTTTGTCACGATATCCTTAGTAGCTTCCTTTGCTTCTACTTCTGCTTTCCTGACTATTCATTTTTATGGAATGGGATTTTCGGAGAGCCATTTATCCTGCTCTCGTTAGCCCTGATCCTCTATTCTCACTGAGGTTTGTTACTACAGTCCTCCGCAAGATTGATCAGGTTTCCAGGATCCACCAATCACTTGGGGGTGATAATCAGAATTGGGTAGAAAAGGTTAAGAACTTCTGTAGTTCTAATATAAACTGTTTTAGTTAATTTCATGTGAACAGTTCTATCATTAATGTTCTAATCATGTCCATTGTTACGGACGTTTCATCCACTTCGAACAAAAATACGTAAATGCCAAGTACTTTATGTTGTGAAATACTTGTAACCTTTTTCTGTCTGTCTGGTTTTGATTCTTCTTAAAGCGAAGATATTTGCTTCACATTTTGTGGTATTTAATTTGAATTGTCATTTTGTGAACCAATTTAAGATAGTGTCAGCTGATTTTTGAAGTTTTCGTATTGAAGTTGAGATAATGAGCGCGCCTAAGACAAGTATTAAATATAGCATAGCTAGTGTTTTATTCGGGAAATATTTTAATACTATGATCGGAATGCCATCGTGACTCCGTAACTTGATGAATTGTTTAATTTCCTTTGGAGATGTAGCCATTATATTTCCATATCCCACGCTTTCGATGTTGGGAAACATTTTGGGAAACATCTATCTTAAGTTCTGCATCATTGTTATCGTTTTGTTGAATACTTCTTCAAGATGGACAGCAAAACCAGCACATGTTTCTTCAACAAATCAGTAGTTGATATTATCCTTAGTGATATTAAGAATTACAAGTTCTCTTACGATTTCCTTTGAGCTTGCTCTGCCTGTGCTTCTGAATCATACTGTTGGCAATCCACACAATAGCTAACGGACTTCTATTTGATTTTATGTGTGAGCCTGTTGATTTGCCGTTTTAATGCTTGTTTTAATACGATTCTTTGCCATTCCCGCTTTTTTTCTGCTCTTTTCTTTTATTAAGTCTAGAATATATAGCGGCGTAGTATTTGGCTTATATCTTGTACTGATTTGTTGGCGGTTGTCAATAATGTGCTTAATGTTGGAAGTTACTGTTTCGACTGCTTTGTCAATATCTTCAGAAGTATTTATAGTTATAGTTGCTACAAAATTTAATATACTTTAAAAGTCCCATTAATTTTTCATTAATTAATTTAGGAGTTTTTGGTATATGTTGAGACATGCTTTCCAATGTTACAACCAACAGATGATTGATTTAGTAACATTTATTTGAAGTAATGTCTAGTACGTCCGGCTGGTGATCTGTGCAGAATGGAAAATATGTAAGCTCTTCAAGTGCGTTGACATGAAACATTAGTTTTAGCCTTTGTTGTTTATTCGTGAGATTAGATTGCTCTTTGAAGTCAGAACAAACACAATAATTTGCTGGATGGTTTCCAGAATAGTTAACACATAGTTGTGGATGGTTTTTATCTTTTCTGCATTCTATTGTTATGTTATAGTCCTAACATTTAACACATCTTCGATTCATTTTATAGCAGTTCTTGGTGTGTCTGATGTTGGGTACGTTCTATTTTGAAAATATTGTGACCACCCTCATTGGCATATATTTCAATTGTACACACTGAGATCGGGTGTTTGGATTTATTCAATAATCTAGTGACTTTTATAACCGGTATACCGTTGTTTTATAACTACACCTCTATTTCACTTTCAGGTATTGCTCAATGGTGGTAATCCTTTCTTATACGTAACCATTTCTTATTACACAATTGAACTTCACAGCATCGTCGCTTACAGTGAATGACTTTTCGCAATTTAATACACAAAACAAAAAAGGGTAAAAAAGAATTTTATTGTCAGACAATAAAATATTTTGGTGCAGAAAAATCTTCACCAACTTACTTAATGTGTTATAAGTGAAAGTTACATTAAACCAAACAATAATAAAATTAATAAAAAAAACAGAACAAACTAGTCAACAGATTTTTTCATGAAAATGTAACTAGTAACTGTAACTAGTAAAAAAAAATAATCATTAGAAATTAATTTTAATTGAAGAGATATAAAAGTAGGTTATTTCAACAATTAGTGTATCTATACTTATGTAACTTCATACATTTCCGCCCACAATTAACTTTACTGTTTTAATATTCAATAAAAACCGGTGCATAAAAAAATGTTACAAATCTAATAAAATAATCTTACCTCTTGAAGTACAGTGTTCTGTTTCTTATTGGTAAGGTTCAAGTACCTCTCTTGACTGGCACAGAACTTAGCCGTTTGCTTATCGAATTTTTTCTTCCCGACTTTGACGCCACCAATGTGTTTTTTGCGAAAATCTTCAAGTGGTGTTACCACTAGAGTATAGGCGTTTTCTAACTGCAATAAAATTATTCAATGTTAAAACGATTAAAGATTTTAAAACGAGTCTTTGTTTGAAATATCATTTGCTTAAGAAAAGAAAATATGGGCTAGTGCACTTGTCGTGAAATGTAAAACAAGTTAAAAGTGTTACGAAACAACGAAGATGCTTCCAACGTTAAATGTCAGGTGAAGATTTTTTTATAAGCAGGGTCGGATCATGGTATGAACGATTGTTCTTTAACCGAACACATTAAAATTTTTAAAAAGATGTAAAAAGAGAATGCGAAATTAATTATTATTAAATATCCAAATTTGTGGAGATTCGCTATTAATTTCTTTTTTTGAGTTAGAACCGTATATAATACAACGATAATAAAAAATAAATCATGATTGAAAGACCACATAAAAACTAACATGACCACCTAGTACAAAGAATGAAATTTGTACTAAACTTTTATCATTTCAATTAAATGTGCTTCATAGCGCAAAATGTAAGGACTTTAAACAGGAAGCTACATCATCTGTTCCATAAACATCTGGTGGCTTATAAAATTTAAAATATTTAGGAAATAATTTGTGTGGTGAATTAATATAAAATACAGTGTCCACCAAAAAGTCAACACCCTGTTCTTTTGGTATCTAGATATTTTCAAGATTAATTCCGGTCCACAAAAAGTAGACCACAGAATCATTATTTTAAATGGAATGTTATGGTTTCTAAGGCAGATTCAAATTGTTTATACAAAAATAGATTGATTTTGATAGAGATTGTTGATATCTACAGCTTTAAGTTTTCCAGTTATATTAATTTTCGTTTTCAGCAGTTATCAATCTGTTTCTTAAAACCGTAGTTCTTAGGCACTTTACAAGTAATAAAGCTAAAAATTTGTTTAAATATGCTTCAAATATTCACAAATGGAATGTAATTAGTTGTATCGGGTTGTATTTTTAAGAATCATGTGATGATTCTATGATATGTATGCTTAATTGATGCTTAAGGATTCTAGTTTCTGATATGATATAAAAACTATAAGACAATATTATTAAAATTTTCAGGAAAAAAATATTAAAGGAGAAATTGTCAAATTTATAATAAGAAAATTTTAAAAAATCGTATCGCCTGCATTTTTAAGAATCATGACATGATATGTATGTTAAATTTGATGCTTAAAGATTCCAGTTTGTGATATGATATAAAAATTATAAGACAATATTATAATATTGTTGAAATTTTGAGGAAAACATTATTAAAGAAGAAACTGTTAAATTTATAAATCATACATAATACGAAATTTTGAAGAAATCATATCGACTGTTTTTAAGAATCATGATATGATATGTATGTTAAATTGAAACTTGAGCCTGATATGATATAAAAAGTATAAGATAATATTATTGAACTTTCCAAAAAACATTACGAAAGAGGAAACTGTTAAATTTATAAACCAAAAATAATACGAAATTTTCAAAAAGTCATACCGACTGTATTTTTAAGAGTCATGATATGATATCTTAAACTGGAGCTTAAGGATTCTAGTTTGTGATATGATATAAAAATTATAAGATAATATTATAGAAACTTCCAGGAAAAGATTATTAAAGAAGACATTGAAAACTATGAAATTTTGAAAAAATCGTATTGACTCAATTTTTAAGAATCATGACATCATGTGTATGTTAAATTGAAGCTTAAAGATTCTAGTTTGTGATATGATATATAAGTTATAAGACAATATTATGGAAATATTCAGGAAAGAAATGTAAAGGAGAAATTGTCAAATTTATAAATCAAAAATAATACGAAATTTTGAAAAAATCGTGTCGACTGCATTTTTAAGAATCATGACATGATTCTTGTAGTATATTATATACATATACTTATCTGATATGTATGTTAAGTGGAAGCTTAAAGATTCTAGTTTGTGATATGATATAAAAACTGTAAGACAACATTATTAAAATTTTCAGTAAAAAAATATACAGGAGAAATTGTCAAATTTATAAATCATACATAATACGAAATTTTGAAAAAATCGTATCGACTGCATCTTTAAGAATCATGACATGATATGTATGTTAAATTGTAGCTTAAAGATTCTAATTTGTGATATGATATAAAAACTATAAGACAATATTATTGAAATTTTCAGAAAAGAAATATTACAGGAGAAATTGTCAAATTTATAAATCAAAATAATACGAAATTTTGGAAAAATCGTATCGAGTGCATTTTTAAGAATCATGATATGATATGTATATTAAATTGACGCTTGAAGATTCTAATGTTGATATAATTCAAAAACTATAAGACAATATTATAGAAATTTTCAGGAAAAAAATATGAAAGGAGAAATTGTCAAATTTATAAATCAAATTTAATACAAAATTTTGAAAAATCGTATCGACTGCATTTTTAAGATTTATGACATGATGTGTATGTTAAATTGAAGCTTAAAGATTCTAGTTTGTGATATGATATAAAAACTATAAGATAATATNATTCTAGTTTGTGATATGATATAAAAATTATAAGATAATATTATTGAAATTTCCAGGAAAAGATTATTAAAGAAGACATTGTCAAATTTATAAATTAAAAATATGAAATTTTGAAAAAATCTTATCTACAGTATTTCTAATATTCATGACATGATGTGTATGTTAAATTAAAGCTTAAAGATTCTAGTTTGTGATATGATATAGATAATATTATTGAATTTCCCAAAAAAAAATTATTAAAGGAACTGTTAAATTTATAAACTAAAAATAATACGAAATTTGTACCGACCGTATTTTTAAGAGTGATAATATGATATGATATCTTAAACTGAAACTTAAGGATTCTAGTTTGTGATATGATATAAAAATTATAAGATAATATTATTGTAATTTCCAGGAAAAAATTGTTAAATTTATAAACAAAATTAATACGAAATTTTGAAAAAATCGTAATGACTGAATTTTTAAGAATCATGACATGATATGTATGTTAAATTGAAGCTTAAAGATTCTAGTTTGCGATATGATATAAAAACTATAAGACAATATCATGGAAATATTCAGGAAAAAAATATTAAAGGAGAAATTGTTAAATTTATAAATCAAAAATAATACTGAATTTTGGAAAAAATCGTATCGACTGCATTTTTAAGAATCATGAGATGATATGTATGTTAAATTGAAGCTTAAAGATTCTAGTGTGTGATATGATATAAAAACTATAAGACAATATAATTGAAATTTTCAGGAAAAAAATATTACAGGAGAAATTCTGCAATTTATAAATCAAAAATAATACGAAATGTTGAAAAAATCGTATCGACTGCATTTTTAAGAATCATGACATGATATGTATGTTAAGTTGAAGCTTAAAAATTCTAGTTTGTGATATGATATAAAAACTATAAGACAATATTATTGAAATTTTCAGGAAAAAAATATTAAAGGAAAAATTGTCAAATTTATAAATCAAATTTAATACAAAATTTTTAAAAAATCGTATCTACTGCATTTTTAAGGATTATGACATAATATGTATGCTAAGTTCAAGCTTAAAGATTCTAGTGTGTGATATGATATAAAAACTATAAGACAATATTATTGAAATTTTCAGGAAAAAAATATTAAAGGACAAATTGTCAAATTTATAAATCAAATTTAATACAAAATTTTTAAAAAATCGTATCTACTGCATTTTTAAGGATCATGACATGATATGTATGTTAAATTGAAGCTTAAAGATTCTAGTGTGATATGATATAAAAACTATAAGACAATATTATTGAAATTTTCAGGAAAAAATATTAAAGGACAAATTGCCAAATTTATAAATCAAATTTAATACAAAATTTTTTAAAAATCGTATCTACTGCATTTTTAAGTATCATGACATGATATGTATGTTAAGTTGAAGCTTAAAGATTCTAGTGTGATATGATATAAAAACTATAAGATAATATTATTGAAATTTACAGGAAAAAAATATTACAGGCGAAATTGTCAAATTTATAAATCATACATTCATACGAAATTTTGAAAAAATCGTATCGACTGTATTTTTAAGAATCATGACGTGTATGTACATATGTTAAGTTGAAGCTTAAACATTCTAGTGTGTGATATGATATAAAAACTATAAGACAATATTATTGAAATTTTCAGGAAAAAGTATTACAAGAGAAATTGTCAATATTATAAATCAAAAATTCGAAATTTTTGAAAATCATACTAACTGTACTTTTAAGAATCATGATATAATAAATTGAAGGTTAAATATATTGGTATAAGTAAAAATACAAAGTTGAAAATTTGTATAATTACACTTCGAATTTTCACAAAATTCGGACATAATTAGTAGTATTAAATAAATTTTCCAAATAATTTCGTATATCACGTGTTATTTGCGCTGGGGAACCGTGTTGTTGAAAAAACATTTTGCGTCTAAGGTTTAATAGGATATTGGACCAAAACCAAAAATAATAATCAAGAATCAAAATCCAGATTTTGCAATTAGTGACAAATTTTGGCTTGAATTCTATAAACTTGTTACATTTTAAAATCCTTTTTACTGTAGACGCGCTAACTTCAGTAATTTGTACTATTGATCTTTCTGGTGTTTCAATCTCTGCCTGCATAACAACCATTGATTTTCTTCCATGTGAACCAAAATAAAATTGCAAAATTCTACCCATCGTTGAGGAACTACTGCATCTATTTTGTGTTATTATTAATTTATAAATTTGACAATTTCTTACTTTCAATTTCTTTACTGTTTCCTGGAAATTTCGATAAGCATG